CATATTTAAATTGCAACAATTATCTGTTTAATTTACATAAAGATAAATGAGAAATTAGAATTAAAAATAGCTGTTTCTTACAGGCTAATTTCCAATTAAATGAATGAAATAAACTAGAATAAAATATAATGAATATTAATTTATAAACTAGATCTTTAGAATTTAATTAAAATTGTAATTAATGATAAAATTAAATAGAAATTAGTATAATAAATAAAATATTATAACGTAAAAAACGTTAACAAATGGTGAGTAACGTTCCTAAAATATCAGAGTTGAGATGAACTTTCTCTTTGAAAAACCGGTAGAGCTAAGCATTCTACGCCCTATTCAATGACAGAAAACTTGGATAACTCCTCTTTCGTGACCTATATACTAGAAAATGTAATATAAAAGCATATAACACTTCTATATAAATCAAATTTGCCTTTCTAACAATCGAGAGAACTTATTTACGCTCGGATCTATAATAAAATAATGTGTAAAATTTTATTTTACACATTAACCATTTATATATAAAATTTGAATTAAAATAAATAAATAAAATCAATTTTTTATTTTTATTATTAAATAAAAATTATAATTTAAGTAAAATATTTAGGTATTTGCCCGAATATATTTAACAATTACTTCTAAAGATAAGGAGTGAAGTGGTGTGTAATCTAATGCAACATGACAGAAGAATAACTAAATTAAAAATTAAAACTTTAAATATTTTAATTTAAAATAGATAAATAAATAATGAACTTACCATCAGACGAGGGCTTCGTTGTAAATCGTCCCACTGTTTGAGTCCAATTGAATTTTAAATCCCAAGTAGTCCAGTAAGTAGTAGTCAAAGTTAAGAGTTGCAGAAGGAAGAGCAAGCATTGAAAAAGGAGAAAGAGAATCAGCATCACCTTCATATCAAATGTGTAGAAGGAGTCACAGGCTTTAAAACAAGTGAGTTTGCATCTGTTGGGATGCTCGACCTATGCACCAAGAGCGTCTAACCTCAGGGCTTGTGTGCGAGTCGTCTAGGCCAAGGTTAGACACCGCAAACTGCGATTTAATTGCATCAGAGAAAGACGTTCTTAAAGAAAAAAAAAAGAAAAAATAAAATAGAAAAAAAGGACCAGTCACCAAAATTGGCCAATAAGAAGGTGCTCGAGTGTAACTTGTGATTAAAAATATTGCAAATTTCAACTCATGCTGCCTCTAAATAACTCCAAACTTGTCGACATTTGCAAGTTATAGAATTAATATCTAGTTTAATTTAACTATATAATTAGTAAAAAATTAATTTCTGAGTTAATTTTTTAATAAATTATTTATGCATCTTTAATTATAATTATTATTTTTTTTTATAAGAAATTAAAATATTTTCGCATTAAAACCTTCTAAGAATTACTTTCTATAAGCATAATTATTTTATAACAAAGATTTTTCTACTAAAATAATATTAAATTTTTAATTTAAAGTGATGCACTTGATTGTAAATACTATATAATTATAATGTAAAATCCTTAAAAGTAATTTGAGGATATTTTTAAATTATATTTAAAAATTGTTAATTAAAGTTAACAAATAAATTATGATATAATCATACAGAATAACTGAAGTTTCTTTCTTTGATTAAGTATACTTATTTCATTCGTAGTTTTTTAAATATAAAAATATGAATTTATCACTCGTTAAATGAGAAAATCTATCTTTAATTATCATAGGTAATGCTGTAAAGTGTAATGTTATCTCCATCCATTTAACAATAGTTTTATTATTAAAATAATAATTAATTAATTTAAAAGAAAAAATAATTAGATAAAATACTTAGATATTTTTAAATACTGTAAATAAAATATTAACAGGTACCAATGAAATTAATGCCTTCAAATAAAATAAAATGCAATTAAAAAAGTGAATTAAAATAAAGTGAAATATAATTAAGAAAATAAAGTGAAATAAACATTAATGTTAATTGAATTTTATTTTTAATTTATGTTATTGAGTAATTAATTGTTATACAAAATTTTAAATAAACGCTAAAATATTAATATTATTTTTAAAAAATATGTTTTACTTAAAATTATTATCTTCTATTTAAGAATACAGTAAATAATTCTTAGATAATTAACAAATCATTCGAATTTGTTTCATGCTCCATTAAGCTGTATGCTTATCATCACTTTATTTATGGCAAATTCTTCCTCAACGAAAAAAAAGCGAGAGATATTCCTGTTTGAAAATCTAAGTCATGTTAAAAATTCAGAGATTTAATGCAGAAACATTAGCGATATCTCGAGTTAAATTACTAGAACATGAGTTGATCTATAAATTATCCTTATCAATACAATTTTACAAAAAAAAAGTTAGTTTCTTATTTCAAAATTATCGAGCATGAAAGTCATTTTTAGAACTCAATTAACATTTAAATTTAC